AAAAAAAAAAAAAAAAAGGGGGGAGATAACACAAGACACATTCATTTTGAAACAAAATGAGTGTGGTGCATTTACTGAAGCAGAGCTTATTGTAATGTGATCATGGAAAAGGCACGAGTCTAACAGAGGTCTGTTTGTGTCCACATATTCCTTGTGCCTCTGCTTCCATTTGAGCGCTTTTGTTGAATTTGCACGAAAGGCCTGATCCCAGTGTTGGACTCTTCAGACCCTGTAGTCAGAATTTCCTAACATGGCATTTATATATAGGAATCATAGATTTCACATATTCTGTCCTCATTTTATTTGGCCCTCTGAGGTAACTGCATGATAAGTCAAACAGCACATATTAGACTTTACTCGACTTGTTTCAAAAGCTTCAACTTCAGACTACTCACCTCCCACTTTTTCCAGAAGTTTGTGGGAAAGAAACTTGTATTCCAGGTCCAGCATGTTGTTACACAAAAGGAGCCATGTCTCATTTTATCAAAAGGTGGGTTCAACACACTTTTCTTGTTTCCCATGCAAACCTTACACTGCATAAACTCCCCGCTGAGAGTCCCCCACATACCACACTGCTGACAGAGATGAATTTGTTTGCCAAGAACTGGATTCTTCCCTGAATCATTAAACTGAGCACAGATCATTTTTCAGGGCTTATTTGCTTTTGTGAAGGAAAAGTAAATATGTACAGAATATCTAATTTCATGCAAACCTCCCCAATACTGTAAATCTTCCAGATAAAACACAGCCTTCTTAATTAGTCCTCTCTGCATTCAGAGGCGTTGTGCAAGAATAACATATTGACTCTATTATTACAACACACAACCTTTCTTTTTTAGCAAATATCATTCATATCAGCAATATGCATAATTTACATGAATCTGTCTTGTGTATAAAGTTGTTGAGACATTTCACTCAAAACCACAAATGTGAGCCCTATGGTGGCACAAAGTTAAAGATGGCAGACTCACAAAAGTCATTAGGATACACAATGTTGGAACAGTGAATGTTTGTAACAGATTTTGTTCCAGTACATAAAGTACTCCGCAGGATAAGTGCAAGCTTTGATCTGCTGGTGGTGCTACAGGAAAAGTCACGAGCATGTTCATCCTCTTGGCACCATTAATGTCTTTACTAAATAGTATGCAGTATATTGTGGCAATCCATCCTGTAATTGTTGTCATATTTCAGTCTGAGTTGAAGCGGTGCACTGAGAGACTAGCAGTGCCATCTCTAACACTTGGTAGCTTTGAGTGCCTTTATAATTCAGTAACAATAACAGCCTATAATATAATAGTAATTAATTAATTAATTAATATGATTTGCTGAGTATTAGATCATGTCCTCACAACATTTTCTGTCACACGTGTTTGATGAGCTAGTGATGAAAAACAGCTTCAGTGTCATATTGTATTGTATAGATATAATATAATATAATATATAAAAAAAATTATATCTATAATTTTGATTGCACACATTTACACATTTTTTATTTTATATTTTTCACTTTCTTGTTGCCTAAATACATTGAGAGCCTTTGTGTTGGA